AGAGAGAAGAGGTGGCACTTTGCAGCCCTGCAGGAGGATGGAAGCAGTTGGGTGAATCAGTGTTTCCGATGGTTTTCTCGAGGTTTTCTTTGAGCCGCTTTGCCTTTCGGTTGGCTGGAAAAGTTGGCCCGTTTGAAGGAAAACAAAAGCAACAGATTGTGAGCGGCATTCATTTGCACGGCGGTTGCCCCGTGGCTGTGCCGTGAGGGATGCTGTGTCCCTTGCACATCTGTGGCAGCAGCTCTGCAACATCTGGATTGCTGCAGGGCTTTGCTTTTAGTGGGACTGGTGGTGTGGGGAGGTGGGGAGTGGTGTAATGCTTTGCAGCTGGAGTACGGTGATGTGATTTTTCTCAAGGGCTGACACCTCTGAAAGAAATTCCTAAGTTGTTTTGGTTTTTTTTTTTTTTTTTTTTTTTTTTTTTTGCTGGTTTCTGATAGGGCAGAGTTTTCTTAGCGCTGTAAGATGTTAAGCGGTTCGTTATGAACTTGGCTTCTAATTATTTTTCTTTTGGGGTGGAAACGAGCCACGCTTAGGCATCGTTCATTGCGATCTAAGGAAAGAGCCCCACTGGGCTTTTGGAAGCAGCGGTTTCCCATAGGCAGCGTCCATTCCTCGGCGGTAACAAAGAACGGGGACACAAAGGCTCGATGTGAGGCTGCTGCGGTCGCGGTGGGGGGAAAGCAGGAGGAACTCGCAGAGCATCAACGGGAAACCGCCGAGTGGATGCTGTGCGCGTGGAATAATTGGCCCGATTGTTCCCGTCCTCATGGCAGCTCGAATGGATGCGGCGATGCCTTCATCCGGCCCTCTGACTGCGATCCATTCAATGGGGGTCCGGCTGCACGTCGCTCACGTAGGGGCTGGGAAGGGGCCGGGCAGGGGGATGCAGAGGGGAGAGAAGGCAGAGGGCCTCAGTCCATCGCGTGGCTCCACACGTGGGACGCGGAGAGATTGCATGGGTGTGGGTGCTGTGGGCTCCTTGCGGTGATGTGTGGTGTAGGAACGCGTCCCTTGGAGGTGTCAGAAGAATGGAATAGGAAAAAAAGCTGGAAAAAAAAAAAAAAGGGAATCTGAGTGGCGTGGAAGAAGCAGAGTGGGATTTTTTGGAGGGGGAGGCGCATGGGAGCGTTGCCTACAAAGAGGCAGTAAAAGCACATGGATTTGGGAGGTGGCTCTTTTTTATTTAACCATTTATAGAGGAATTTTTTTTTTTTTTTTTTTAATTCTTTTTCCTTCTGCACTCCAGTGAGCTCTCAGCAGCTCCCAGGCACAAGGGTCTGTGATATTTTCTTATAGGTTGGAGCAATTGGGATTGTTGAGCTTGGAGGAGGCTCTGGGGAGACCTTGTTGTGGCCTTCCAGTACTGGAAAAAAAGTTATAAGCAGGAGGGGGAGCATGATCTAACAGTGACAGGATAAGGGGAAATAGTTTTAATGAAAAACGAAGAAATTTAGGTCAGATGTTCAGAAGAAATTCTTTGCTCAGAGGATTGTGAGGCACTGGGATGGGTTGACCAAAGAAGCGTGTGCTCCATCCATGCAGGTTCTTATTGCTAGGTTGGATGGGGCCCTGATCTGGTGAGTGGCAGCAGCCCATGGCAATAGGCTTGGAACTGGGTGGGCTTAAGGTCCCTTCTGCCCAAAGCCATTCAATGAAATACACTGCTGGAGCCTTTTGAAAGTCATCCCTGACCTTGGCTTACCTGGACTGCTGTCTGTAATGAGTAATGAATATGCATTGAAAACCCTGATAGCTTTCCACAGCCTGGTGAAAAGGAATGATGAATTGGGTCTTTGTGAAGCACTGGGAGCAAAACACAGGTTCTGTTTCATCCCTGCTGCAAAGTTTCCTAGAGCTCAGGGCTGGCTTTTGTGATTTTGCTGGATTTGGGCTCAAGTTCCTGATTAAGTAGGTGCTTGTGCTAAGTCCACCACTGACCTTTGGGAAGTGTTTCTAGGTTCCTAACCAAGTGCTTTTTCACAGTATGGAGGAACCTGGTTTTCTATTTGATAGCAAGCTGATCTAGGGAGAGACTCCTTCAGCTGTTCTCTTTGGTTTTGTTGCCCCCATGCAGGCAGGAGCTCTGTGACTGCCTCAGTTCTATTTGGAGCCAAAGGGGGCACAAACAGTACCCAGCATTGTCCCTGTCCCTCGTTAAGCACCTTTATTTTAATTGCTCAAGCTCTCTTGATATCTTTGATATCTTGTATCTGCTAGCAGCTAGAGAAAGGAGGAGCTGGTCATTCAGGTGTAATTCTAACCCTTTCCCTCTCAAGTTGTTAGAGCACATGAGACATGTTTTCTCTGTACTTTCACACTCAGAGAGTAAAAGCCCTTTTCCTTTGGATGCCTGCAGCCCCCTGGGTACCGCAGTGTGCAAAATCAGTGCCTGCCACTGAGATCAGTGGGAGCTGCCCTGGGCTTTTGAAACGTGGCACCCAAGGGGACAGGTTGCACAAAGGGACCCAGTGCACTGTCCTGAGGAACACAGAATACTTAAAGGGGGTGGGGGAGAGGGAGAAACCCCACCTTTTGATAGTTTTCTCATCTCCTTTCTGCTTTGTTGAGGCAGCCAAGCGGATGATGAGTGGCTCTTTGCAGTTCTGGCATTTTAGCGTGTGGCTTTAATTTGGCTGTAGGATTTTTTTGTTTGTTTGTTGGAAGGGAAATGCCACATGTTTCGCATACTCTCTGCATACCTCTTGGTTTGTTTGCCCATCCCCGACACCAATCCCTCCACGCCGCCTCCATCCCCTGACAGCTACCAATTGTGCTGCATCCCAAGATCCCACCTGCCCCATAGCGAGGAGAGCAGCTCAGCTCACAGCCCATAATTAAGGCACATTTTTATGGCTCTGCCATCAGCCATTCACTCCCCGCATTCCTTTCCCATGAGGTTTCCAGGATTGAAGGGTGGATGAGAAATCCCGTTGGAGGGGCTTGCTCCTTGCCGGGAGGGCTCAGCACGTGATGCTGGGTGGTATGAAAGGTGCCTGCCTAATCCAAATGCCATTAAGCATCGTTAAGATCTTCCCTTCCTGCCTGTAAAGCGCTTGGCTTGCTGCCTTGGTCTCTTGATGTGTAGAGCCATGTGAACATTAGTGCCGTGGGAGGGCAGTGAGATGCTGCCATGCATGCTTTCCTACGGACCGATCCATTGCCCCAGAATTTACTTTCTGAAGGATTTATGGAGAAAAGTGACTCTCCTGGGTACCTTTGTCACCGTTCTGTCTGTGTTTTGGTCATGCAGTTTTATTGAATTGGAGTCATCTTCAACTTTCCAGTCATCACTCTGGGTTTACTTCCACCTGTTTGATACAGGACCCTCTTTATAATAAAAAGTAACCAGCTTAGGTTTAGAAGAAAGAGATAAATCATTCTCACGTATCTGCTTTTATATGCTGATGGTTCTAATCAAATTAGGGCCGTCCTCTGGATTTCATAAGATCAGCCAACCATAGGGATAAGGGGTTGTGTTTGTTCCCCTTCATGGGAAAACAGAGGCACAGAGGATCCTGCAAGATGCCTGCAAGCTGTACCTCCGCAGCCATCAAGATGTACTCCTTTGTCCTTTTGGGTCTGAATTTGGGTCGGTGTGGCTTAACTGGGGCAGTGGTCTCACCTGTCGCTCATAGAGCCATCCACCATATGCTCCAGCTCTGATGTGCTCATTCAGCAGATTCCATTCTGAAACTGAGTCAGTGGATTTCTCTGCTCAAGGTTTTGGTCACTGAAGCTCATGGGTGGAAGATGCAGGGGAGATGGTGCAGAGGCTTTTTGGTCTCCCTGTAACTTCAAAAGGACCTGGAGGAGGCTGGCTCAGCAACAAGGAAGATGAGCTGGTGGATTAACAGCTGCTTGTGTTTTGTCTTCTCTTCTTTCTCATAGCCTGTGGGCCACAACTTGCCAATTCTCCCACTGTGATAGTGATGGTTGGCCTCCCAGCCCGGGGGAAGACTTACATCTCTAAGAAGCTGACTCGCTATCTCAACTGGATTGGTGTCCCAACAAAAGGTGAGATGTTTGCAGGCTGCTGGGGAAAGGACCAGCTTCAGTCCTCAGAAAGTGCTGCAGGACCTCAGTGGTACTGCTGGGGGACATTGTCCCACGTGGGATGGGAGATGTTTCAAAGGAATGGGAAAAATGGGACAAAGAGATATCCATGAGCCTTTTAGAGTCTTTTACTCTAAAGATGTCTTTTCTCAGTCTGTTGCTAAAAAGTGGTATTCCTGGGAGCTGCGTGCTGATTTGATGTGTTCTCCTGGTTTTGATGATTTTTACCTTTCTCCTGCAGTTTTCAATGTGGGGGAGTATCGCCGTGAGGCAGTGAAGCATTACAGCTCCTATGACTTCTTTCGCCCCGACAATGAAGAGGCTATGAAAGTCAGGAGGTGAGCATGCCCCCTGCCTGCTGTTGGTGTCCCAGATGAGTTATGAAGCTCACAGTGGAGTTACTCTATGGTTTTGGGGTGATGGATGGAAGGGCTGGGCTGGATCTTGAAATTTCCCTGCTGTAGAAGCTGTTGGGGCTTGGTGGGTCAAGATTGCCAGTGCATCCCTACATCACTGGTATTCTGAGATCACCAGCAGGCTCATTGGTGAGGGCATGAGCTCTGCAGTGGTGTTTGCTCTTTGCCTCTTCATTTGCAAGCTGAAGAGCAGCTTGGTTTTTCAGTAAGCCAAGGGTGTCACCTGGGAGGAAAGAATGTAGATTTGGGGTCTCCCTCACTCACCTGCTTAGCAGGGATCTGTGTGCTGTTTGACATAAGCAAATTGTAGAGCATCATTTAAAATAAATAAATAAAAAGTTAAGAGGCTGCAGTGAAAGCTCTGAGGAAATGAGGAGGGTGTGGTGCTGGCATTCAGTCCCTGCTCTTCATGTGCAGAAGAAACATGCAAAAGTGTACAGACAGGAAATCATCCAAAGCATCCTTTCATGGTATTGCTCAGCTATCTGCAAAGTGTAGAATACTTAATTTTAACTGATGTTTAAATACATGGCTCTGGTCTCTTTTGCAGGCAGTGTGCTCTGGCTGCCCTGAGGGATGTTAAGCTGTACCTGACGGAGGAGACTGGCCAGATTGCGGTAAGAGATGCCTCTGTGGTGCTTGGCACTAATGCTGGAAGTGCTGAGCCCTGTGCAGCTCAGGGCAGTGTCACCTTCAGGAAAAGGGGCCATATGCTCAGAGACTGGGAGAGGGTTCCTAAACATTCCCTGAAATTAAGCAGATGGGGGAAGGATGTTATAAAATGCCCTCAGTGGGAGAGAAAAGTGTGTGGCTAGAGTGAGCTCAGCTTTTACAAAATATCCACTGTTCCCCCTAGATTACTTAGATTGAAGAAGAACTCAGTGAGAAGCCAGGCATCCTAGTGCTAACCAGAGTCTTTGTTTTTAAAGGTTTTTGATGCCACAAATACCACACGGGAGAGGAGAGGGATGATCCTAAATTTTGCCAAAGAAAATGGGTTCAAGGTTGGTAGTGTTCTGCTGCTGCCTGTGTTGTGTAGACCGCATTACATTATTTATTATTCATTATGTGTAGTTGATCACTGATGTGTTGTCCTCATGATGCTGTGTTGTAAGGGGGATTTTGCTGCTGGAATGGGAGACCTTTCCTGGCCCTGAGTCCTGGGGTTTGAAAGGAATGAAAGTGAGGTGAAGGGAATGCTCCTTGGGTGAAGCTGGGAGGACACTTGGGTTGAGCAAGAGCTGGCTGAATGTTCTAAACCTTACTGCTGGCTTTTAGCTGAGCTTTGCTGTGCTTTGCAGGTGTTCTTCATCGAATCTGTCTGCAATGATCCCAATGTTGTTGCCACCAATGTCATGGTAAGAGTGAAAGCCACTTGCTTTTGTTTTCTATTGTTTAGAATTTTTCCCCTGTGTCCAATTGGTTTCTTTTCAAAAGACATCCTGCCAGACTCTGCTGAGGGTTAGGAGTTCTTTGTCTTTTTATGATATATTTGTCCTGGGATGAGAAGGGAGCTCTTGCAATTCTGATGATGTCCAAGGGTATCAAGGAGAGGTGTATAAAGTACTTAGGATAGCTTGGTGACCCCAAATTCCCTTTTGAAGTGATAGGTGTGGCTAAGGGCTTGTATCCCATCAGATTGCTTGGTGGGTGTGGTTTAAATCCAGTTAGATTTGGTGACTTCAGCCACATGCTGCTTCACAGTATCTATTAAGGTCTGTTTTGAGGAGAATAACAACTCATCTTAGAGGCTTCCTGCTGCTAGCTGACATTTTGAATGGGCGAGTGACATAAAACATTGCTTATCAGCTCCTTTGGGAGCTACTGGATCTTTGATTTCTCTTCAGCAGAAATGAACTTTTGCCTGTTAGGCTTAGCTAGGGTGAGTAGATGCTAATTGGCCTACCTGGGCATGATTAACTTCAATGGAAGTGTCCTTTTTCCCCCTTGGGCTATGCTTCAGCCTTATCTCCAGCCTGCCTTTTGCAAGTTGTTTTACAGTGTCTGAGAATGTGTCACGGGATATCCAGAGTCTATGAGGGGGTTTTCATGGGTCTTTGCCCTGCCCCCAGGACTGGCTTCACAACAGGCACCAGTCTAGGGGCATTTGTACATGCTGCAGCTGCTGCCCTGTGATGGTATCCCATTGGTTTCAGGATTGGTTGGGAAGTTAACTGATGTGTAACACTTCTGCTCAAACCCAAATCTCCAGGAAAGGCATCGTGTTAAAGCAAGTTAGACAGGACTTAGTCCCTGTGAATTGCCAGGTGGGACAACAGCCTTCTCTGCTTGCTTCCTAACCTTTCCTTTTGGTGTGTTGCCTCCCCTGTTGTAGGAAGTAAAACTGTCCAGTCCTGATTACCGGGACTGTAATTCGACCGATGCAATGGAGGACTTCATGAAAAGAATCAATTGTTACCAGGCCAGCTACCAGCCACTTGACCCTGATGACTATGACCGGTAAGAAACTTTCCTGCCTTATAAAGAGCCTGTCTTTGAATGCCTTTTGTTTCCTGGGAACGGGGTAATGAAGTATGGAGCAGTTTTTCACTTGGTGTTCAAACACGTGACTGTGCTAGCATAGTGTGTGGCCGAGGCTTGCTGTAAATCATGCTTCTTCCTTGAAAACGTAATGCTGTTTTCTCCTGCCCGGTGTTGGGGAGTGTGTACTGGTTTTGACCATATTCATAGGAATACAGACATCTTGAACTGGAAGAGACCTTGAAGATTATCTAGTTCCACGCTTAAATACAGATGAAACAAAGGGATGGGCTGTTGGGCTGGAGTGTTTCTGGGATGCTTTTGTCATGGTGCCAGTTAAAAGAAGGGGTTGTTTAGACAAGCTCAGGGTTGACCCAGGGTACACAACTGAGGCTTGCTCACCCTTTGCTGTCCTGCATGGCCACGTCGGCAGCCAGTCAGTAACTTTTCAGCCTTTCCACTGCTCACAGACATGTCCATGTGCTTTGTGTGGATAATTCTGGTCCAGCTCAGTGCTGTCCCGAGGCGGGATGTGCTTCTTGCTAGGCTTAATCCTCTTTACTGCTGCAAGGAGGGAAGCTGATTACACTCGTGTCACTTAGACCTCCATGAATTGCTGTGACATACCAACTTCCTGTTGAAAATAGCCTGCAGAAAATCCTTTTAGCTGAGTGATTATATTGACTGAGATACCTTACAAGGCTGTTTTGCGGAGTGACGGTTTTCCTTTCTACTTTTCCCACTGACACCTACCCCACCACTCATCCTTGCTGTGTTTTCCCCAGGGAGCTTTCTCTCATCAAAGTCATCGATGTTGGCCGGCGGTTCCTGGTCAACAGGGTTCAGGATCACATCCAAAGCAGGATTGTTTACTACCTAATGAACATCCATGTCCAGCCCCGCACCATTTATCTTTGTCGGCACGGTGAGAGTGAGTTCAACCTCAAGGGGAAGATTGGAGGTGACTCAGGCCTCTCCAACAGGGGCAAGAAGGTAAGGAGGAGAGGAACATTTCCCTGGTATTTGGCTGTAGGAGATGCCATCTGTTGGGCATTGAGTGTATATTCAATGCCAGTTGGGATGATCTGAAGATCCATCTATAGGGCTTGTCAAATTTTGGCTCAAGCATGGCCACAAAAAACCCTCTTAGGTAATAGTTAAGAGCTCTGTTCACTCAGTAATTGTTTCTTCAAGGACTGGTCAAGAGAGCTGGTACATGGAGGGCTAATATTTATTTTGGCTTTCCATTACCATTTTGAAGTCCAAATGGATTCACTCACTTGAGGTGTGACTTGTCAAGGACTACATAAACATCAGTTGACTCTCTGACAAATGAACAGAGCTGTGGTTAAGGATGGTGTGGGATATTTCACATTATAGGAGAGTCGAGGTTGTGACATGGTTTCCTGGATGTTGCTGCTGTTCCTTGATTACATAAGGTTGCAGCTTTCTCCTGTTCTGTTCTGTTCTGTTGTTCTCATACTCCTTTATAACTTTTTGGGAATCACAGATGTGTGAGGCTGTTCCCCCACCTTAGAACAGAAGGCCAATACATCTGCTATGGAAGACAGAAGAGGACCTGGAGAAGGGAATGTTAACTAGGAAGCAGGGAGGGAAAACTCATTGGGAAGCTGAATGGGATCCCGCTTAGATCAGGAATCAACCTCTTCTCTGTCCTACAGTTTGCACAGGCACTGAACAAATTTGTTGAGGAGCAGAACCTGAAGGACCTCAAAGTCTGGACCAGCCAACTAAAGAGAACAATCCAAACAGCAGAAGCACTCCAGCTGCCCTATGAGCAGTGGAAGGCCCTCAATGAAATAGATGCTGTAAGTAGCTTTAATTGCAGTAGGAGATGATAGTGCTGGCTTTTTTTCAGTCCTGCAGAAGTCTCACCTACAGTAGGGAGTTCTCCCTTCTATGGGGAATTGTGTACTTTTCCTGCTCTGGCACCCAAATTTTGGCTTGTGGTTTTACCTCTACCTTATACAAGATGCTCAAGATGTTGGCTTGAATAAATAGATTAAGGTGTCTTTTTCATGAAACTGCTCTATATCTGATCCCTCAGCAGATTAAAGACAGTTAGTTGCCTTGGAGAAGGGTGGTGTGTGTGTTAGGTGGGCCAATTCTTTTTAGCATGGCCAGTAACCTCATAGCTATCCTCGTCTTTCAGGGTGTGTGTGAAGAAATGACTTATGAAGAAATCAGGGACCAGCATCCAGAGGAATTTGCTTTACGTGATCAGGATAAATATTACTACCGTTACCCTTCTGGAGAGGTAGGAGACCTTTGGAGACGTGGCTCATACTTGAATATGGCCTTCTTGTTTTAATGGCTCTTCCTTACACCCAGAGTAGGAAGAAGAAAAGCAAGTGTTACCATTTTTTTTGCTAGTCCATCCTCTCCATTAGATTCACTCAGTGTTGTACTGCCCAGGTTTTCCCCTTTGTTTCATTTCTAAAGTAGTAATTTCATCCTCTGCTCTCTGCGTCACTTGCTGTGGGTTGATGTTGATATCTCTGTTTGTCTCTGGCTTGAGTAACACTATCTGCTTTCAAGGTGTGACATGTGGAGGTGGGAATTTACGTCAGTCCTAGATGGTAATTTTGGCTGTGAACTGACTTATTTAGTCCCAAATTAAAAAATCATGTCCATAGATACTTGGAAACAATAAATATTTAGTCTAATGACAGCAGGTCTAGAGGGGGGTATTTGAGAGTGACTGACACAGACTCTAAACAGGCTTTCATGAAACCTTTTAAAACCTTAGAGATTTTCAGGGTGCTTCATACTTTCGAACTTAAAAACCCACAGAGAAGGAAAAAAATTTGTGACAACAGAGACAGTAATCTCAAAGCCTCTGTGCAGTTATAGCTTACCTCAATAAATTCTTCAGGGCTGTAATTGAGACATAAATGGTTTGTTTCTTTCTCTGATTAGTAGCTATGTTGTAGAGTAGCCAAGTTGAAGCACTATTAAATTTACTCATCTTTTTTATCAGTAATCATGTTGGTTTATAGAAGCATGAAATCAATACTTAGACCAAGACAATGATCATTGTTTCTTGTGAGGTCCTTGTCTTCTTGACTCTATGCCCACTTCCCTGCTCTTCTGTTTCAGTCCTACCAAGATCTGGTGCAGCGCCTGGAGCCAGTCATCATGGAGCTGGAGAGACAAGAGAACGTCCTTGTGATCTGTCACCAGGCTGTCATGCGCTGTCTCCTTGCTTACTTCCTGGACAAGAGTGCAGGTGAGCTCCCTGTCCCTGAGCAGCAGGTGGATCCTGTTGGAGGAGGGATGTAGCTTGGAGGAGATGAGATGTTCTTGTGCCCACACAGGGCCTGGAGCATGCATTTCTTTGGTATGGGGTGGGTTTAGGTGCTGAAGAAGGTGTTTTTAGAGAAGGTGGGGTTAATCTTGCTTTGCGTTTCTCCGCAGATGAAATGCCCTACCTGAAATGTCCTCTTCACACGGTACTGAAGTTGACCCCAGTGGCTTATGGTAAGTGGGAACGCTACTTATTGATGTGCTGAGGTGTTCAACTAGCACCTCCTCTTAAATCCAAGCTTCTGGGACATGGGCAGAGGTCTGGAATGGAGCACCTTGTAACACCTTCTGTTGGGTTTGCTGACAGCCTCTGTATCTCTGTGCTTCCTTCTGCAGGCTGCCGTGTGGAATCCATCTCCCTGAATATTGAAGCTGTGAACACTCACAGGGAGCGGCCAGAGGTAAGTGCTTCTTTCCCTCTGAGCCATCCTTGGGTGTTCCTTCCTTTCCCCTGTGGTAACCCAGCACAGAGGATGACTGGGGAGACTGCTCGAAGTGCCACTGGAGAATTGGGAGCATCAGTTGGGTTCTTGCTCTGCATAGATGTGGCTGACTGAGGGTTTTCCAAGGGAAGAAGACTCTTGCATGTGCCTGCTACCTAGTTTAAAGATGATCAAGGGAAAGGTCAGCCAGTCTCTGACTTTTGCCTTTGTGCTCATCCACTTGCCTGATAGGTAATAGAGCTATGGATAGAGAAGGTGATTTCTCCCAGGTGTCCCAGCTGGCTGGCAGAGCCCATGCTTGGTGACTTGGCCAGCATCTGCCTGTGTCATTTTTCCTGGTGTGCTGGTGGCTCTATGAGGCTACCAGAAAGCTGTTATGCAGGATGGTGGATTACCAGGGGAGAAGACCCCTTGCATGGAGGGGAAGAACTCCATAAAGTCAGGTCTGTGTGCTCCACCAGGAGCTCAGAGGCCAGAACAAAGAGACATCGAAGCAAGGGGGTGCAAGCTCGGTGGTGGGGCTGGATGGTCGCTCAAGGGGAGCCCTGTGTCCCAACCTTTCCAGCTTGTGGTGATGGATCCTGTCTGGGTTTTGGATGGTCTCATCCATCCCCTTGTGGACCACATAGTTTCTTTGCTCCTTGACCTCAGTACATTGGAAAAGCTGGTCACCTTCCCATAGCATCAGGGCCATTGATGCCCTTGCATCACCATTGCCAGGAGTGGCTGTGGGGCTCAGTTAGGATGGATCAAAGCATGTGTAAAGCGCTTGGGTTCCTCTGCTTGGCTGTAAGGGCATTGCCCTCCATCCATCCCACATGCCTTGAGTTGGAGCTTGGTGCTGTGCTGACCCTTGCTGGCTGCTCTGTCCCACTTCACCATCCTTTCTTATCCACTCAGGCTCGCTCGTCTTTCCTCTTCTTGCTTTCACAGTCAGAGGGACCAGCTTTGAGGAGCAGAGCGATGGGCACCGCTCTGTTGTGCTAAGTGGTGGCTGTTGGTTACTGCTATACTTGGTAGTAATGCACGTTTTACTTTTTTTGTGATTGAAGGCTTGTGTGGAGAAACTCTATCTTGTTTCTGAGTGCAGGGCTCTTTTTTTTTTTTTTTTCCCCCTCCCTTTCTTGGGAAATCATATTATGTTCTCAATCATTTTGCATTAGTTTCTCTTTTTTTGGCGTCCAGAGCATTTCATTACATCCAACTAATCCTTTGCACATCGAAAGCAATTGTGGGGGGGGAAAGCAGAGGCTGCTTTAAGGAAAGAAACAACTTGCTTTTTTTTTTTTTTTTTTTTTTTTATAACTGTCGCCTTCTTCCCTTTTCATTTTTTTTTTTTTTTTAATTTATTTTTATTTACTTTTTTTCTTTGTCTCACTCTAATTTAGGAAGCAAAGAAGGGACCTAACCCGCTCATGAGACGTAATAGCGTTACCCCTCTAGCAAGCCCAGAGCCCATCAAAAAGCCTCGCATCAACAGCTTTGAGGAGCATGTGGCTGTTTCTTCCGCCTTGCCAGGCTGTGTTCCTCAGGAAGTGCCCACGCAGCTGCCGGGACAAGTTAGTTGAACTTTTTGTTTTTGGTTTTTTTTTTTTTTTTTTTTTTTGGTTGTCATTCTTGTTTGTTTGTTTGTCGTCTTCCTCCTGTCGCTCCTGAAGCTGAGAACGGCTTGCACTTGTTGCATCCTGTGCTGCTGGCTCTGAGATGCTCTGTCTGCACTTCTCCCAGTCTCTACGTTAGGTTGGTTTTTGGGAGCAGCCAGTGATAGGTGGCTGTCAGTCTTTGATCAACTCAGTGCTGTGGGTTGAATCAAGCAGCTGATCTAGGAATTGAGTCTGTGTCCCCCATCTGACATTGCTGTGTCACAGAATTGTGGAATGCTTGGGGTTGGGCTGGTCTATCCCCTTGTCAAGCCAGCATCATCCAGCACAGAGTCCCCGCAACCATGTCCATGTGAGAGCCTGTTGGCTAAGCAGGCAAAACCAAAGGTCTCATGCCTACTTCCTCCCCCAGTGCATTTGCTCCACTGTAGACCTGGGCATTGCAACAGCACAAATGTTCTTGAGCTTCCACTGAGAAAATTACCATCAGTACCCATTTCTGCCTGCAGTTCTCTATTCCCAGAGGAATAGGCAAAATGGGCCAAAACTGAGTAGAAGCCAATTTTGGGAGTTCATCCATGCCCTGTGCATTAAGCTGCCTTCTGCAACCCTGCGTGGAGACTGAGGGATTTATAGAATCATTAAAGTTGGAAATACCACTAAGATCAGCTAGTCCAACCATGAACCTGTTCCTGTCCATGTCACTCAGTAAAACATCTGCCCTTTTCTTGGAACCCTCCAGGAATGGTGACTATACCACTTCCCTGGGCAGGCTGTTCCAATACCTCACCATTGTTTCTGAGAAGAAGGGTTTGCTAATATCTAATCTGGTCCTCCCCTGCTATGTTGCTTGTATGTTATCCCTTCTTTCTCTCACTTGAAAAGATGGAGAAGGAGAGCCCTTGTTTGGGACAGGATTCCCAGAAATCAAAGCCCCATCCCTTAGTATGGCTCGAACCAGAGGAGCAGCCATATACGTACATGAGCCTCATATTGTGCTGCTTGTTGGATCTTGTCTTGTCTGCTCCTTCTTTGCCATGTCTGTGTTGTCCCCAATCCCTCCTTTGCCAGGATTAGTGTGATGTGTCCCCTGGCTCCCTGTTAACTGCTCTGCTTCATTTCTTTGCATGAACCTTTTCACCCCATACAGCACTGAGCGGATCAGTTCCTCAGTTTCTTGGCTTTTGGGGCTTTGCTTTGGGATGCTCAAGTCTTGCAACAAACCCTGTCCTGGCTTCAGGGTCTGGAAGTATTTGGTGTCCAGGTGCCCCACGCTGCTGTTCCGTGTTCCCTGCCCTGTCTCATGTGGCATTACTGACACCTCTCTTTCCCTCCTCTCTGTCTCTCTACAGCCTTTACTAGGAAAGGCATGCCTGTAAGTACCTTCTTGCGTCTTATTCTCTTCCCTCCCTCTTCCCCTGTTTCTCACTGTCCCACTGGTTATTCTGTTGCCGTGAAACCTCGCTGGGCATGGTTTTCTTGGACTGAATATTTGTTGGGGTGGGAATTGGGTGCGTCTTAAGAATTACAAAGAGGAGGCTATGAATGCTGCTTTGTCCAACCCCTAAGTATCCTATCTTGATTAAGTGCCCAAATTCTGTTGGGAAACAGAACAAATTACTAATTCAGGATGCTGTCTGAATTCCTGCTTTCTCATTGAGTAGTTGGAGATACCCTTGGATTTTCTTTGCATTTTCCATGGTAGCACTTCACAGGTGATAGATCTAAATGGTCTGCCTGTCTTGTGGACTCTTGAGTTATGCTTGAGCGATGCCATTGAAGATTTCCAGATAAGGTTCTGACCTCAGCTTCCGGCAGGGTTTTATCACCTGTGTGGGAACTGAAATGTAATTCTGAAATGTAATGTGGGATGATCCCACGTCTGTAGTTCTGCAGATGTTAATTTTGGGACTAATCTTCCCATTTGTCTTGGGCATATTAGACAGAAGGATGCCTTGACCTAGCTCTATAGGCAAGATGCCTTGAGCCTTTAATGCATTACTTAGGATTGACTGAGGTTTTGACAGTGCTATTAAATTACTGTATAATAGGGACAGTATGGTTCTGGATAAATTGAAGCCTTTGGACTCATTTCATGTTACCTCACTGAGTAAAGAGAGCATCAGTTATTAGAGAAGGAGTTCCCAAATGTCTTCTCAAAAACTATGGAGATATGGGAGTTCAGCTGGGACAATGCCTACCTGTCTCTGTCCTTTATAGAGCAATCAGCCCACCTCCATACTTGTCCCCATTCATTCTGTGAGATCAAGATGGGAAGAGTTGTTATAAACTGCCTTTGGTTGTGTGTAGCAGCTAGTGGACTTCACATTTATTCCCATTTTCCCAAAATGGATGGTAGAAGAGTCAGATTTTGGCTTTGTTGATGGGTTGGGAAGAGCACGCTGATGCTCCTGAGTGAATATTGAGCTGCCCGCCACAGTGTGCATGCCTGTGCTCCTTCTCTTGCCTCGATGAAGTTTCTGGTCTGGTTGCTTTGAGAGTGACTTTCTTTTTGTATATCCTTCCATCTACCTTTTTCCCATCTACATTACAATAAAAAGTATAGCATGCTGGACACAAAGAAAAACCACACTGATGTTGAATTTGGGAGGTTTGCATCAGATTGTGCTACACCAAGAGCTCTGGGAGCAGGTGATGATGTCTTCCTATCCCATCTGTAGGCTGGATGCAGTGAGCTAAAGTTCTCCAATACTGGGGGTCTGCTTCCACCTACTATTGTGGGACTTAGGATTTGCTTTTGAGGGAACCAAGAAGATGCCACTAAGCGTTTGGTTTGTGAGGGACCTTCATCTCTGTCTCTTCACCTTGTTTGTGCATCCAGTCCCTCACTGTGTCCCACCACAACCCATATGGGGTCAGGGGGAGGAGGTTTCCTCCCTCCCTCCCTTGTTTGCACTGCTGGAGTCGGTTGACAGCAGCAGCATTGCTGTGTCAACCATCCCTATGGGGGCTTGACCTCCCTCCCCCCCCCCCCCATCCAGGGGATACCTGGAGAGCCCAGGGACATAATAGCTGTGTGCCCCTGGACTGGCTTGGGTTTGTGGGATGAACTGATGGTTTCTTTTCCTTTTGCTTGGTTTGTGATCCAAAATGCACTTTGTAAAAACAACCCAACTTAAAGTTTCTCCTCTTCCTTCCCTTCTTCTCCCCTTTAACTTTTCATGCTTAAAGACGACCTGTTTGTCACTTTCTCAAAGTTTTCTCTTTACTAATATTTCCAAGGTAAATAGCTGTGGGTGCACGTGGCTTTTCCTATCCCTTGTCCTGTCTCTTTAGTTACTGCAGAATAGTGCTGTCTTGTAGCATGGCCATGGTTCCTGGTGCTTGTAAGAGACAGTTTAGGTTGTAAAAGATTAAAAATAGGTTGAGAAGCCTTCCTAGCTGTTTCCTAGTCCCTTCCCCTCCCACCTGGCCTTTTTTTGTATAGTTTTGTGATTTGAGAAATGTCCTTGTTGTGGTCATTGCTCCTTGAGTTTCTCTGATGCTTTCCTATAGTCATCACTTTCTGGGAGCTGTTCCTTCTAGTGTTCAGCTGGTTGTCCCTGGATTTGTGGTCCTTGCTGCTTGCTGTGCACTAGTGGATGTCTCTTCTTGACACTGTGATGGTACCAGGGCTGTGCTTGAAGCCATTCTAGATACCTTGAAATGTTACAGGTGAACGTTGGCTTCAGCTGCACCACTGATGGTGGCTGGTTTCCATGCCAGGTCCTCCAGGCCGTCACTGCACTGGCCGGAGGTGGTTCTGCAGCAGGGCACTGCTGAGGATGGACAAAGAATGACTTCCACCTAGCAGATGTGGGGGCACTGCCCTCCCGTGAGGGAAGCAAGAGAGATGCTTAACTGGGCTCTTACAGTGTCCCGCCGTCTTGTCTTGCATGGACCAAAGAAAAGTTCAGGCCTACCTTTGCCAGATTCCCACCCTGTGGATGGGTGACGCTCAAAGGAGGGGCTTAGGCAGCAAGTCAACATGTCTCCCTCACCTCTCTCCTTGAGTATACAACATCTTCTCCCTCTGTGGTAGATAGATGCTTTCTTAGTGGTGACCCATGTGGTAGCGTTGTACCCCCGTCCCTTTCTCAGTGTGCAATTGAAGATGCTCCAAGCATGACCCCAACCGTGCTCCTTCCCCTCTCGTTTCAGAACATGAACAACTCGCAGAAGCCGTCGTGAGTCCCTTAGTGCTGTCGCGAGGCCACCAGCGACGCCAGCTCCCATCCCATCGTCATTTCTGAAGCTTGCTTGTAAAACAGGTCTCCTCCATTTGTGGTGAGGTCGACCCTCGGCTGTTTCTACCCACGCCTGTTCATCTGCAAACTGCTCTGCTGAAGGGGGGAGAGAAGTGGGAGAGCGATGGAGAGGAGGGAGATGAGCTCCCAGGTCTTCAGGCTGCAGCCTTGCTCTCCTCTCTGGTGTCCTGCTAGTGTGTAGCAAGCTGGGAAGCGCTTCTAGCGCACAGGAGTTTCCAAGTTCTAATTTTTCCTTCTAAGCGGTTTTGAGCTCTTTTTGTATAGACTAATGGTACCCATCCGACTTTGGGTGGAGTGTGTGTATATATGTGAATGGTGCGGGGTTAGCAGAGTAATGGGGACAAGAAGGGAGGGAGGGAACAAAGGGGGAATTTTGATGTTTTTTTTTTTTTCCCTATTATTATTATTTTATAAGTACTACTTTGTTTGTTTGTTTGTTTTTGGTTTTTTTTTTTTCTTTCTTTCCAAGAAAGCCCTTAATGTGCTGTGCTGCAGTCCCACGCCAGCTACAGCCTGCCATGCACACAGCCCAGCTCATTGAGATACATAAAAACTGCTGGTTTTAGCCAGTAATAATAATAAAAACCCTCATGTTAATTGATGCATCTCGAAGGGGGGTTGCAGAGAAGTTCAGTGTGCTGCTGTGAAGCTGGCTATATGAACTGCTTGTAATATTGAGGGGAACCACACTGATGTTGGCTCCTGGGGATGCTCTGCATTGGAGGAAAGAGGAGATGGGTGGTTGGGTCTGTGCATCACTGCAGGCTGTAGGTGGGCAGCTGCACTGGGTGCATTTTGCAGACACACAGGTGTCTTGGCCAGAATGCAGGAAGGGTGTTGATGAGAAGTCTTGAGAAGAGAATTTTTTGTTGCTGTTCTTTTTCTTTAATATATATATATACATGCACACAGGTGTGTGTGTGTGTGTGGGTATATGTTTATACTTAGAAACCGCTTGGTTTTTGCACTTTATTTGTGGCAGAAGCATGACTATAATTTTTTTTTTTTTTTTT